TGAGATAATTTATAAATAAAAATTGAATGTTTTAAATTCAAAATTTTCAAATAGATAAAATCAATGGTAAGATAAATGTTACTATTACCTTAATTTTGATTTATATCTAATTTTTTGAAAAGGAAGATAAACATCACATTATTTTTTAAATAGTCATAATCTCATTTAATCATTATTTGATATTTATTACTATCTCCAGTCCTAATTATAAGACCTCATAATGAGGTCTTTTAATTAGGACAAGAGATACTCCCTCCGTTCCTTATTATAAGAGACATTTGATGTTTATGGTATGTTCCTATATATAAGAGACACTTAAAAGTTGTCTCTACTTTTTTGCATTGATTTCCTATTTTACCCATATTTATTATCTCCAACCCACATTCTCTCTCCCTCCCACTTCTCTTTCTTTTAATATTTTAATTATTCTCTCTCCTATTCTCTTTCCTTATTAATGAGGGCATGTTTGGAAAACAAATTATATTTTTTACACATTAATTGTTTTTAACTAATTTTAACTGTTTTTTTGATCAACGTATTTCGGTTATCTGTCTCTTATAATAAGGAACGGAGGGAGTAGTATATAAGAATGATTATAATTTTTTTATTTCAATTTTACTCTCTTTCTAATTTTTTTAATATATATAAAAGGAAAAAGTAATTTGGAGGTCCTTATAGTTTTCCTCCATTTTGAGCCAGGTCCTTAGACCTTTTATTTTATTTTTTATGGAGTTTTTTAACTTTCAACTGTTAGACATGTTAGCCTCGTGGTTAAAATAGGAGCCAACGCTGTTAAAATTTTCTGCTAGAAATCACAGTAGAATGTCCGAAACATCTTCTCCCTGTTAGTGACAGTCTCACCCAAGATGGGGGTGAATTGGGTGAGATAGAAAAAATTGCGTAATTAAAAATGAATACTATCAAAAACAGAGAGTGTAAGTTTAGGAAGGTTTCACCGTAGAGAGACAAACACAAGGTTTATACTGGTTCGGTCTTAACCACTTGACCTACATCCAGTCCTCAGAACACCTCTGAGTATTCCACTATCTTCCAAGATTGATCGGGTTCTTAGCGCCTCAGTACAGTAATTGATTCACTCAATCACTCCCCCTTACTTCCCGTAAGATTACAAACCCACACTCAAGAGTTCACACTCTTAAGTATCACTCTAATGTAATCAATGATAAATGAGTAATCTCTCTTATAGAGTGTATAGAAGATAAACACTGATGCTCAGTAAGATTGAAAGAACAGAGTATTGAATGCAATAATAGATGATCACAGACGGTAGCTCGGGTATTCAATTCCGTTCATTAATGCTTCTTCGCGCCTTTTATAGTTGAGGTTGTTAAGTAATCGTTAGACGGAAGAGCTTCTAGCCGTTGTGACTCTGTTTGCGTGTTTTCCTAGTTACAACTGTTCTGCCATTAATGCTTCTAGGTTTCTGACACAGTAGGTTACAGGCTACGTAATCAACTGTTGAAGAGCCATTGTGATTTCTCTTTGTAATATGCAACAACACTTTTAACTTCAATAAGTTAATCTTTGCAATGTAGACCTTAAGCTAGAACTGAACAGATGATAGAATGATTGTTCATTGTATTCAGGTAGATTCAAAAAGACTGTTGAATATGCAGAATAACAATCTGGACATTCTTGATCGAAGTGCTGATCGATCACTGGTTGATCGATCTGGTTATCGATAATCAGAGTGAAAGCTTTTTGAATCAGTTGAATAAGATTATCGATCAAGTGATGGATCATTGATTTATCGATCAAGTGATCGATAAAATACAGCTGAGACACTTATGCTGATATGTGAACTCGAGAAAGATCAGAGTCATTTTGATTATAAATCACTTAGTAAAATGGCCAAAATGATCATGTATGCTAAAAATAGTTTGGAAGAAAAAGAGAGTTAAATTTGAGAACCATCATAGCTAATTGAGATAGAACTGGAAAAGTAACGTGATCGAACAGTTTATCGAATACTCATTGATCGATCAGATAATCGATAATTCAAGTGTTACTGAAATGAAACTTCAGTTCATGTTGATCGATTACATTATCGATAAATTTATGATCGATAATGTTATCGATAAATACCATGTGAAAATCACTTAGTGAAGAGTAAGGATAAATTGGGTTTATCGAATAGGTGATCGATCAGTGATTGTTCGATCAGGTTATCGATAAATACCATGTGAAAATCACTTAGTGAAGAGTAAGGATAAATTGGGTTTATCGAATAGGTGATCGATCAGTGAGTGTTCGATCAGGTTATCGATAAACTGTGAAACGAAGATTTTGTTCTAAGCTATTTATCGATCATGTTATATGAAAAAGTACTATTCAAAAATATTAGATTATCGATAATGTTATCGATAACTTGGTTAAGTAAGAGCAGATAAAATACTGATTATCGATCATGTGATCGATAACTTGGTGATCGATAATGTTATCGATCAGCAGCTATGATGAGTACCTGCATTCAGAGAATCAGTGAACAATGTTCGATCATATTATCGATAAACGAATGATCGATAATGTGATCGATAAATGGTGACAAAATCAATGTACAGAACGAGTAGTGTATTACCATTTATTGGACTCTTCATCGATAACTGATTTATTAATCATGTGATCGATAAATGCACTCTGGCTTTGGTTCTCTTTATCTGTTACTTATTTGATTATCTTATGTTATCGATCAAGTGATCGATAATTAACTGTAAACTTGTATAACTTCTATGTTAGCGATAATCGATCATTTTATCGATCAACGGATTATCGAACAACTTATCGATCAAAATCTCATTTAAATTACTGGTTTGCACTGACATTTTATCTGATAGCTTATCGATAAATACTTGATCGATCAGGTGATTGATCAACATACTGAACTACTTAAATCTAACTTTGTTATTATCAAAACCATAATCCTAACACTCCCTCTGAAACATCTTCACCGTCCATCTCTTTCCCCGTACCCAAGCTCTCAGACCAAACTTTCCTTCCTCTTTAGCTCGCTTCTCAACATCTTCTCCCCCTCACCATGCTCCCGACCTCACCATTCCTTCACCTATAACACTTTCTCACTTCAAAATTGGGATAACTGCATCTTTGAAATTCACAAGCCTCACAAGAAATCATGCATATGGTTGGTTACATTCCCAACTCTAAAAATAGTAGTCAAAACACATGATGTCGTTGCTTTGGGAGCATTAAAGGAAGCTCTGCAATTTTCAATTTCCCTGAGCTGATCAACATCCTTCCTCGTCCTGGGTTACTCGCTCCTTGAGACATGCAAGTGGCAGTGCTGGGTGTTGAAGGCTGCTTAGATGGATAAGTTCGACCCATCAACTCGTCGTCCTCGTTGTGGCTAATTTCAGTAATGGACTTGGGTACTAAGTTGGAGGAACTAAGTGAGATAATAATAATGGAATTGGTGAAGGGGGGTTTGTGTACATGGACTCAAAAGAGGGATGGATGTGCGAGCGACTGTGGTTATAGAGTGTGGACGATTGTGATGGGTATGTTGCAGATCAACTGTGGAATTACTAAAAGTGCGTTGTTCTTGTTTTTGTGAATACATGTGATGATCTATTCTCTATTTTGATGCGTTAAGCCCTCATGGTAGGAAGGAGAAGATGTTGATGGAGTAAGCGAATGATAGAGGAAAGCTTGGTCTAAGAGCTTGGGTATGGGGGTAGACACAAACGGTGAAGATATTTCAATGAAAAAGATGTTTCGGACGTGATGCTGCATTTTCTAATAGAAAATTTTAACGGTGTTTGCTCTTATTTAACAGTAGGGACTAATATATCTAATGCTGAAAGTTAAGAGATCCCATAAAAAGGAAAAAAAAATTTAAAGACCTGATTCAAAATGGAGGAAAATTATAAAGATTCCAAATTATTTTTCCCAATATAAAAGGACAATTCATTAAATGGTAAAAACGTACCTTAGCAAGGCTAGCCCATTACATGAAGTCCATTTGAACAATGCCTAAATATAAGAAAGTAGGATGGCCCCATTTGGGGGGGGGGGGGGACAACAGCAACAAGATGGAGCAAGCAGGTAAGCCCAACTGAAAAATTTTCAGTTTTACTCTTAGCAGCAAACCAACTTGAACTGTACCCAAAAAAAAGGCAACTTGAACAGAAAAAAAAATAATAGAGAAAGTCTCTCAATAGAATTGATGTATTTTTTTTTAATTAAGTATATATATTCTTCTACTAGAAATAATTCTATTCAAAGTATTATCATGCACTAAATGTGAGTGTTAAAATACTTTTTTTTGCAATCCAAACATTCTCTTACTGGAGCAACTCTTTTTTTGGACTGAATTACCAGGGCAACTCTTTAAACCTTCAATATCTTCTCCTAGATCTTGCTTCTTCTTTTTTTTTTGAATTTTTTAAGAATGAAGATAATTTGGACTTCATCCCTTGTTTTCTTATTTTTAACGTTTTTTTCCCCAAACAATGATGAAGTATTTTCGACATTGCACCTCCTTATAGTTCATTTAATAAAATAAGAATCCACAAAATAATTATATAAATTTCATTCCTTTTCTTCAGTATTTACAATTATAATTAATTTTTTTATGTACATAGCATGGGATAAATAATAACCAAATACAAAATTTTAAATTTTAAACTATTTATTTGAACAAAATTTTATGCAATCTGAAATTTGAATTCAGATAGTGAAAAAGTGGATATTTTTTGGGCAAATGAATAGGTATCATGTTTTAATTAATAAAGTTGCCATTTTTAAAAAAAATTAATTATCATGTTTTTCATCACATTCATTTACAGCCTATAGGCCCATGAGAGAGATGAGGATCCTGCGTTTCTTCATGTGACTTTCAGATCTCAAAAACAAAAATGATCAGAGTTTCTTTCTGAACCAAAAAAGTTTTCGTTTTTTTTTTGTTTTTAAAAAATAGTTGTTTACGGGCACGGCTAAGGTGCGCTGAAGCCCATCTCATTCATTCCCCCACCCCAGACTCGACCAAATTATTTTCATCAATCATCAGGCTCTTCTTCTTTATTCTCTTTCTTTCCGTTCGTGTTCTCGATCTCCGATCGGAAAGTTCCTTCTTTGACAGGTAATCGTCTTTCTCGCTCTCATAGCATAGTTTTAATTCACTTTAATTTATCTTTATGGGATCCTTCGGATGTGAATTCGGGTTCCACTGCATAACGAGACATGTGAATTTCGATTTCTGTGTACTTATGCTACTTCTGTTATATTCTTCTTCTGCCCTTCGATTTTCGGACATGGGTTTTTGTTTCCGAGTTCAAAATCTAATCTTCGGAAGTAGTTTTGAAGTCACGATCAAACCCCTCATGAGACTTTTGAGGATCAGTCTGTTCGGTCTCAGAGAAATCTCGGGACATTGATTTTCGTTTTCTTGTCTTTTAGATCTTTAGGGTGAAAAATGTCCGGCCAAAGCCAGCGTCTTACTGTGGTTCCCACAGTCACAATGCTTGGAGTCATGAAGGCTCGCCTTGTTGGAGCTACGCGAGGGCATGCTCTTCTCAAGAAGAAGAGTGATGCTCTGACTGTACAGTTCCGTTCGATCCTCAAGAAGATCGTCACTGCCAAGGAATCAATGGGGGAGATCATGAAATCTTCTTCCTTTGCACTAACAGAAGCCAAGTACGTTGCTGGTGACAACATCAAACACGTTGTGCTTGAGAATGTTCGAGAAGCTTCCCTGAAGGTTCGTTCTCGGCAAGAGAACGTCGCTGGTGTTAAGCTCCCCAAGTTTGAGTACACAAGTGATGGCGAGGTCACTAAGAATGATCTCACTGGATTGGCAAGAGGTGGCCAACAAGTTCAGCAATGTCGTGCTGCTTATATTAAGGCAATTGAAGTTCTTGTTGAGCTTGCTTCACTTCAGACATCTTTCTTGACACTTGATGAAGCTATCAAGACGACAAACCGGAGAGTGAATGCCCTTGAAAATGTGGTTAAGCCCAGGTTGGAGAATACTATCAGTTATATTAAGGGAGAGTTGGATGAGCTAGAAAGAGAGGATTTCTTTAGGTTGAAGAAGATTCAAGGGTATAAGAAGAGAGAAATAGAGAGGCAGATGCTTTCGTCTAAGCAGTTTGCTGAGGAACAGGTTGCCGAGAAAATTTCATTGCAGCAAGGAATTTCACTGAGTTCAGCCCACAACTTGTTGTCTGTTGGAAATGAGAAAGATGAGGATATCATTTTCTAAATACATAGAGGCTGGTTTTATTCGTTTGGGATCTTTGTTCTAGGTTGCCTGCCTTCTCTCAGCAATTTGTTGATTCTGCTTTTTCTGGATGGCGAGAGTTCGTTGCAATCACTTGGGTGCCAGAGCTATGTACCATGAATAAAGACGCTTAGTATTTGTTCCATCTATTTATGTATTATTTATGAACATTATTTGATCACTTTTGAATTCAGAGGCTCCTAGACAATCATCATATTGAAAGTATGGTTCTCTTCTCATTTTATGCAAGCTGAAGTAGCTGTTAATAGCTGTAATCTTGTTTCCAACATTTGTTACAGGTTAGTAGAGCCATCTACTGAAGCTGGAGTCTTAGCAGCCATATAAATAAAAATTTAATTACCTTGTGCTGTTCATATAATTCTGCTTATTCAAGTCTGCGTCATTCTAAACTCGTTTGAATTTCCATTAATATATAGGCCACATGCTTCTCTCATATTAACCTACTTGAAGATGAAATATTTTGTGCGTGTCATTTTAATGCTTGTCTAAAGTCAGCTGTTGCTTGTGCTTAAATTTTTGTATTGCATTCCCTTGGAGCCCCATATCACTCCCGGATGAACAGTAGGATTTGAAAGATATGGTGTAGTTCTTATAAAGTATAAACTATGGAACAGCGTATGGAACGATATTTTTGTTGACAAAAGGCTATGCCTTCAATTTGTTACATCATTCAAAGGCTGTGTACAAGATGTTTCTAACAGTAAATTCTTGTTCTTGATCTTTATCCCTTCCATCCACTAGCACATGCATCATGCGCTGGAGGGCCTAAGTTGATTTGGGTCATCAAATTGCTTGGTAGAGTTCTTTACATTATCTATCCCGTCCATCACTTTTTGTTGTTGATGATGATGATGTTTCACCCTATTTGAGTTCATACTGCTTACTGGATATAGTGGCCTTCTCAAACAAGTTTCAGGTCAGAAACCTGAGTAGGGTCTTATTTTCAGTGCTTTTGGGACTATTACTCTCATGAAGGATATGATCTGCTCTCGGCTAGTTCTGTAGGAATATCTTCAAAGAATGCTTCTGACTGGCCAAGTGGCCATCTCTGGAATTTTAGGCGGTTTTCTTTTCATTGGAATTGATGATTTAGGGCTAATTGTGATAGGATACCCGACAAATTCAGTCTGACTTATTCAAGGAAGGCTAAACGTGGCAGAGAAGAATCAGTTTTGGAATAGCGATTTACATGCTTTTTATTTTGATATTTCCCTGTTCTCTTTTCTGTTGGCATATTTTCAGTTCCGAAATAAGAGGGATATCCCTCTCCAACGTTAGGATTAGTTGCTGATTTATCGTTGATTATTATCTTTGGGTTTTCAACTGATTTTCTCTCTGTAATTCATTATAAAAGGCTATTTGGCCGCTGGAATAAAGACAACAATTCTTCAGAGAGTACATTTATATTGGAGATCCTCCATCGGTCCCTTAGAGAGAGTGCTGTGAGATCCTTGCCGCTCTTTTTATCGGAATTCCTTGCTGTTACTTCGTTTCTCTTTATTTCCGTTAGATTAGGGCCCTACCAAATTGGCATCAGAGCCATGGTTGAGACTAGATCATCCCGCAATACCAACGCACCTGAAAATCCTTTTGCTGGAGATACTGACCCGCTGATCTCCATTGCTGCGCGCTTAGAGAACATTGAAGCCTTGGCTAATAGAGTAGCTAATCTGGAAGCAACCTTTGAACGCACACGGAGAGGAATTCATCGCTCTCACTAGGAGGCTGACAGCGATGATGATCCGAATGCGGCGTTAAGACGACGGATGCCTTATACAAAGATTGAGTTTCCCAAATTCAGTGGAGGAGACCCGAGAGGCTGGATACTCTAAGCTGAAAAATACTTCAGATACTATGACACTCCAGAGGAAATGAAAGTGGATGTCGCCTCTATGTATCTGGAGGGAGATGCGTTGGATTTATTCTCTTGGGTCAACAATGAGCGGACAGTGGTGTATTGGGAGGAGCTTGTAAAGGCTCTTCAAGAGAGTTACGGACCACCAGAATACCAAAACCCAGATGAGTACCTCTGTAGCATTAGACAGACTGGGACTGTGGCTGAGTACCGTTCTGAGTTCTCCCGTAGATCGTCTCGCGTCAAGAACTGGCCGGAGCATTGCCTCGTTGGCGTCTTTATCAATGGCTTACGAGAAGAACTAAAGGCAGATGTGCGAATTCACAAACCCCGGACGGTGTATAGGGCCACCAGCTTGGCTCTTGAATTTGAAAACAAGCTGAAACTCACCAGTGGGTCCAAGCCCAATTCCTCTTCTGCCCAGAACCGTTCCTACTCATCGAATATGCCCAGCAGAGCAGTTTTGTCGTCTTCATCTACTCCCTTTAGACCCACCGCATCGCGAACTTACAACCCCCGTCAAGCAGAGTCGGGCATCACACGCAACAGTCCGTCCGAGTTGGAGCGTCAAGCTCGCCAGGAGAAGGGCCTGTGCTACCGCTGTGGAGAGAGTTTCCGTCCTGGGCACCGCTGCCAGTCCGCGTTCTCCCTCATGGAAATTACCAAAGAGGATGAAGAAGTGATACCACCGATTGAGGAAGAGGAGACAGCGGCATCGCTGGTCGGAAATAATGCTGAAATCTCCTTCAATGCCATTCTGGGCAAAACTTCGGCGTCAACTATGAAGCTGCAAGGGACTATACAAAGCCGAAAGGTACTAATTTTGGTGGATAGTGGTTCCACCCACAATTTCATCTCAGAAAATTTGGTCTCTGACTTGCGCATTCCAGTTCAAAATGTCCCGGTGTTCGGAGTTCAAATCGAGAATGGCAGTACCGTCAAATGCAACCGGGTATGTAATAATTTGGAAGTCAAAATTTCTGATTTAACCATCAGACAGGATTTCTTCCCCTTCACTCTCGGCGGCACTGACTTGGTGTTGGGAATCAAATGGTTAGCATCACTGAATACCATTGAGGCCAACTGGAATATAATGTTCATGATTTTCTGGGTAGATGGAAAAAAATACAAGTTACAAGGAGTTATTCCTGAAGCCAACGCTCCAGTACGACTTCAAAGCTTAGTGTTAACACACGAAGTTGAGCAGGGAGGGTGTGGCACAATGATTGCTGAGGCCATTTTTGATGAGTTTGGTACAGTATTCACAGAACCCAAATCGCTACCCCCGGCTCGTGAGCAGTATCATGCTATAACCTTACTTCCGGTTGCGTCTCCTCCCAACTTGAGACCTTACCGGTACCCCCACTTCCAAAAAGATGAGATAGAGTCCCAGATTTCAGAGTTATTGAGTCGTGGGTTCATCAGACCCAGTTCCAGCCCGTTTGCAAGTCCGGTACTGCTGGTGAGTAAAAAGGATGGCTCTTGGCGCCTCTGCATTGATTATAGACGTCTCAATCAGATTACCATACCAGATAAGTATCCAATTCCTAATATTGATGAGTTGCTAGATGAACTACATGGGGTAGCTTATTTTTCAAAAATTGATCTGCGTTCTGGGTATCATCAAATCCTTATGCTGCCATCTGATATTCACAAAACTGCTTTTCGGACTCACTCAGGACACTATGAATTTGTAGTAATGCCTTTTGGGCTTACTAATGCCCCAGCTACATTCCAATCTATTATGAATGACTTGTTTAGGCCATTCTTGAGAAAATTTGTGCTCGTATTTTTTGATGATATACTGGTATATAGTGCGTCTGCTCCACAACATTTGGAGCACCTTCGTATTGTGTTTCAGGTGTTGCAGCAACACTCCTTCTTTGCCAACGCAAAAAAATGTTCAATTGGGCAGAATTTTCTTTTAATACTAGCTTCCATGTATCAGCTCAAAATACTCCATTCAAACTAGTATATGGGAGAGAGCCTCCACCACTTGTTCCCTATGTCAAAGGGGAAACACTAGTTGCAGATCTGGAAGAACAGCTAGAGCTAAGAGATGACATGCTCAAGATTTTGCGGGAAAATTTGCTAAAGGCTCAAAATCGCATGAAGTTACAAGCTGATCACCATCGTAGGGACCTCGTGTTTGCACCAGGAGATATTGTTTGGTTGCGCCTCCAGCCTTACCGACAGAGAAGTCTAGCTAAACGGAGGTTTGAAAAACTGTCTCCAAGATTTTTTGGGCCCTATAAAATCATTAGACGTGTGGGTCAAGTGTCCTATGAATTAGAACTCCCTTCAGATGCCAGGATTCATCCCATTTTTCATGTATCACTCCTCCGTCCAGCTTATGGCCAAACACCACCTCCCAACCCAAACCCCCTCCCTTTATCTGCTGATATGGAATTGCTACTTACTCCTACGAAAGTGATGAAGCATCGCTGGGTAAATGATGACACACTGGAATTACTTGTTCAATGGGAGAATCGTTCCACAGAAGACTCCACTTGGGAAGATTATGATTCTTTTTCTGCTCAATTTCCTGACTTTCGACTTGAGGACAAGTCGCTTTTCCAAAGGGGGGGTAATGATAGGATACCCGACAAATTCAGTCTGACTTATTCAAGGAAGGCTAAACGTGGCAGAGAAGAATCAGTTTTGGAATAGCGATTTACATGCTTTTTATTTTGATATTTCCCTGTTCTCTTTTCTGTTGGCATATTTTCAGTTCCGAAATAAGAGGGATATCCCTCTCCAACGTTAGGATTAGTTGCTGATTTATCATTGATTATTATCTTTGGGTTTTCAACTGATTTTCTCTCTGTAATTCATTATAAAAGGCTATTTGGCCGCTGGAATAAAGACAACAATTCTTCAGAGAGTACATTTATATTGGAGATCCTCCATCGGTCCCTTAGAGAGAGTGCTGTGAGATCCTTGCCGCTCTTTTTATCGGAATTCCTTGCTGTTACTTCGTTTCTCTTTATTTCCGTTAGATTAGGGCCCTACCAAATTGTTTTATTCATATTTCAAACTATAAAGCAGATAAAGTTTTAGGCTTCAGAAGACTAGAGGATACTGCGAATTGTGACTTATTTTTCCTTGCTACGCTTGTAATTCAAGATCCACTTCTGAATCATGTCATTTTGGACGCCAAAATGTGTGTCCTAGAGATAGATGTACATAGAGGAGTTACTTTGATGATATTGCTTGCATATAGTGTACTAATGGAAACTGAGGTATCAGAACAATGGAGAGGGGAGGAATAAAATTTGGGGATGCATCAATTCATGAACTGAATGGTTTATAATTTTACTTCTTTCACTTCTTTCTCCCGTTTCACACTCGCCAAGCAGATCAGGTCTTTATTGTTCGTGGTAAACCCAGTTTGTGAAATATAAGCAATTTGTCACCATCTTTGGTCAAATTCAACTTGACACATAGTTTATCAGAAGCTCTCTTCCCTCTTCTTTGGTTGGGATTTGCTAGGAGGTCGGTCCTTTTTTCCTCTTTTTGGCTGACAAGTAGCCGTACGTATTTGTTTGCTAAGAGAATCATATGTATTCATGGTCAATTATCATGTTCATGTGATTATGTCTTCAGTGAAGGAAGCATTGGGGGGGGGGGGGGGAAGAAATTATGGTACATAGATCCCTGGACCATGATCCTTCAGTGATGCATTTCCATGTACTCGCATGGTAACATCCAACTTTTGTTTCTGTCCTACCATGCTGAGAATAGTTGTTTAGAAGCATATAGAAATAAAAGTCAGCGTCATTATCACCTTTTCTTTTCTTCATTTGCTTGGATGCCAGTGGGAAGCTTCCCTCTCCCTGTCTCTCTATCAGGCAAAATTCCACCGGAAGGAACTGGTTTTTCTATTGTTGCAAAAATGGTAGCATGGGGTTGATGCTTCCAATTTTGTCAGATGTTTCCCCAACGGACGATTTGGACCGTCTTGCGCTAAGTTGGTCTATACGCCTAAACTTGCGAATAAAAAGGGCACAAAGAAAAGAAGGGCTGAAAGGCAGCCATTTACGCATGCTCATAATGAAAAATAGTACTTCTGATCCTTAATACAAGGCCTAGTTAATTAATTTCAGGAGATTATAAAAATTAGTTAAGTTAATTATTTATAATAAATAAGTGTTGTTTTTTCTAGAATATTCTTGCTAGTTATGTGTATTAGTTAAAACTACCATTTAATGGAATCTATGACTTGTGTGATTATTATAAAGACTATTTTGAAGGGGAAAAAAAGAATAAATATAAAACACAAAGTAAATTGGGATATTATATTTAAAATTAAAAGTCAAACTAGCTCTTATATTATTAAAGACCGGAGGTAGTATATTGATTTATATTACTCCTCTGTTCCTAAATACTAGTATAAGGGTTTTATATTTAGAATCAGATGAGTATATTCTTTTTTATGTTACAAACTCACAACAATCACCGACATTTTCTCGCGCCTGGATTCTCTTCACTTTAGCACAAATATCTGTTTTGTGCAATCAAACAAGTTTATTAAAAGTGAAAAAATAAAATAAAATGCAGATCCTAATAGGCTAACAAATTTGGATATAGGTATGCGCTAAATTTTCTCCTAACTAGGCCTAGAGGTCTTAAATAATATTACCTCCCATCTTTAATCTAGTTTGCAATTCAATTTGAATTATAATCTAGAGTTTATTTTAAAGATTGAATGTAATATTTACTTAAATTAAAAGAAATTAAACGGGCTAGGTCAATTCATTTGTAACTTATTCTCACAAAATAACGCATTAAATTGATAAAGTTTTTCAAATTTACTTTTATTAAAAAATTTTGTTATTTATATTTACAAATCATTCTCACATCTCTCTTTTCTTTTTCTTTTTTCAATGAGAATTAAATAAGAGTAAAATTAGAAAATGATCATTTATGATTAAAAAAAATTCCCTACAAATAATGTATAATAAAGGCCAGAGTGGTAATTTAAAAAGAAAAAAATTGTTGAATTTCCCCCTGCCTCTACAAAATTGATATGTCACTTGATCCGTTATTATCATTTAGGTAGTTACTCCTCTACTCTTATTTACAAGTTATTTCTAAAACGTTTTACACAGACTAAGGAAAATTTTAAATTTCATTAAATCTCATTTAAAATTTAACAAAATTTTAATTTTATCTCTATTTAATATACATTGTATATCATGTAAATCAAGTTAACACAATAATAAATGAAGGGTAAAATTATACATCCTTACAAAAAATTTCTCTCAGAAGAGTATGCTTTGATTAGACTTAAATTCCTACAGAAGTCAAAGCCAAAGCATTTAATTTTTATTTAAATTTGCGTATTTAACGAACTCTTCATGACTTTGATTTTATATGCATTTCAAGCTTGTGAAACTACAATGTAGGCAATGGAGGATCCTGCTGTTTGTAACAATGTTTCCTGGCCTCATGGTCAGTGGTTGGTTTTGTGAATGTAAAATAAAAATAAAAAGAAATAGGACTAGTAGGTGTTGGTCCCACTTAAACACAAGGTCTCTAATTCGAGTATGTGTGAATGCACAAAATGCTCCTGAAAGAACTATCACTAATTAAACTCGATATTACTGGAATATGATCCAGTTAGATAACCATATAAAAAGAGGGGGAAAAAAATATCTTAGACACTGATGAATCCCAAAAATATTGCTAAAGGAAAAAAAACTGTGAAAATAGATTCCTTGTTTAATTGGAATGTTACTTCCTCATTTTTCTTATTCCTCCCATTTCAAACTCTGCCAAATTGACAAGACTTTCACAATTCAAGCACGGCTCAGTTGGTAGGAGTTGTGCTAGCTTCATCAATGGCCTCAGGTTTGAGCCCTTGTCCTTCCCAAACCTAGATCTGCCAAAGTGAAACATAATTACCAGATACTAGATGGTTTGACACATAAAAAACATTGAGTCCTATAAAACCCCATATTATTTATAAAACATAATACTACCTCCTGTCATTAATATAAGATTTCGTTTAATTTTTATTTTGATCCTAAATATAATATTCCAATCTACTTTGTTTCTAATGTTTGTTTATTTTTTCCCAGGGTAGTCTTTATAATAATGATAATGTTAGCTAATACACATGATTAATAAGGATATTTTAAGAAAGATAACATCTGTTTATTATAAATAACTAACTTAACTGGTTTCCTTAATCTACTTAAATTAGTCAACTAGCTCTTCTATTAAGGACCGAAAATTATATTATTGGCAAGTTATAAACAGTACAACTTACCTCGAAACCTAGAATTTAATTATACATGAACACTCTCACACGTGCGCATATATATATATATATAAATCGTCATTCATATATACATATGTGTGTGTGTGTGAATGAACGATGATATGTAACCAACTTTGGTCAAGATTTCCCCCTTTTTCCCTGTTCAACTTGGTGCATAGATAGACTGTGTGAAGCCTTGATCCTGTCCCTTGGTGGGGGTTGACTTGTAGTTCAAGCTTTTTTAAATTCTGACCTTTTACTTTTGACTATTTGCTAGTAGGAAGCTTCATTCTCATCTCCCTCCCTTGTCTGAAACACAGAAAATTATCCGTCCTTAATTGAATTCATGAAACTATTCAAATGTGTGTGTCTGTCTCAATTCCGTTGTGAATGCAACATTGACATTTGCAGTTCTGGAAGGGAAAAAAAAAATGAAGGAACCAACAATTTTTTTCCTTCTCTATTTATGACTTGGTGTATGCGCTTGTTCTGTTAATGCGAATTCAAACTAATATTATTTGGGTAAATGGGTATTTTAAATTTTCCCAATAAAAATTAAATTCTTAAAGAAATCAAAACCCAAAATTAGTGCTGGTCAATTCTGCATACTGGCCAACTGTTTTTGCTATGATTAATGGCTTCGATTAGTTTTGGACTTGGATGCGTCTTCTGATACATGAGGTGCTAGTTATTGCGCACTAACCAAATGGATATTTATCTATTTATGCTACTTATCTTCTTCCTACCACTATACCTACCATTTTCCCGGAAAATCTCACCAAACAGAACTCTGGTTTCATTTCATGGCTTCATCTCCAACTTCCCAAATTGGATTGTCTAATCGGAAACAAAAGCAAGGCTTATCATTCACAGATTATCTAAGAGGTTGGTCTGTTCTCCTCCATGAGATCTTCTTTGAGAAAATCACATCGAGACGCCTCAAAAGCCCTCTGCCTTTACCTCCTCTTTCTGATCTCACAATCATTCTCACTGGTCCCACCAGTGGAATTGGCCTTGAAATTGCCAGAAACTTAGCCTTCTCAGGAGCTCACTTAGTCATGGCGGTAAGAAACCAAAAGGCAGCTCATGACTTAGTAAACCAGTGGAACCGTGAAAGATCTTCTTCTCGTTCTCCCCCTTCTTCTGATACTGATTTTGATGCAGCAAAGCCGCTTAATATTGAGGTGATGAAACTGGATCTTCTCTCTCTGCAATCTGTTGTGAATTTTGCAGAAGAGTGGAATTCAAGGTCAAAACCTGTGAATGTTTTGATCAACAATGCTGGGATATTCTCCATTGGGAAGCCTCAGAGTTTCTCAGAAGAAGATGGGTTTGAGACTCACTTGCAAGTCAATCATCTTGCACCTGCATTGTTGTCTATACTGCTCTTACCATCACTCAAGAAAGGATCTCCTAGCAGGATTGTCAACAACAATTCCGCAGCTCACTTTCTTGGCTTTGTAGATGTAGATGACATGAATTTTACTTCTGGCAGAAGGAAATTCTCAAGCTTCAAAGGCTACTCAAGTAGCAAGCTAGCACAGGTAATTCTGCAGATAACATGTGTTCTTTATTCTGTTTCTTATCTATTTATTAATACTATGGACACTCTCCAGAACAAGTTGTGAATACTGTGATTCATTTCTCAACTCCATGTAATGCATACGAAAATGTGTCTAGTTTAGAGATATTCATGAAATCTTTATATGGATTAAAAAAAATCTCAAAAATATCAATCATTGCCCAAAAAACGAAGTTTTCATCATTGCTTCAATTTAACCACTAAAAATTGAAATCAAACAGATTTCTTCCATAATCGAACTGATTAAATTTATTCCAACATAAGAGAAACTGATTGTGGCCTTTTTTTTTTTTTTTAAGGTTTTTGATTGATTTTGGTTAGTTTGGTTTAGTTTAAGTCTGTTCAATTGGTTTTGCTCAACTTTAAGGAAGCTAGTACAGAAACTGAGATGTGGCCAGTGAAACAGGAAACTTGTAGTAAACTGAAGCCTTTAAGAAAATTATAAAGGACAGGCATGAAACCATTTAAACTATCTTTAAGAAACTTCTACCCATTAAATCGGGCCAAGTAGAGGAGATTCATCATCAGTGGAGTTTACAAAACTTGGGGGGGGGGGGACCATGCTGAATATTTTCTGAAACATTGAGGATAATAATAACTCAAATCTTTTGAAACAAACAAGGAAAACATTGAGAGAATCTGTGATTGTTGTTACTTAACTTTTACTACATTTTCTCACCAAGTAGGTGATGTTCAGCAACATCCTGCAGAAGAAGCTTCCTGCAGAATCTGGAGTCAGTGTAGTATGTGCAAGTCCAGGAGCTGTGAGAAGCACAAATGTTCTTAGGGATGTTCCTAAAATGGTTCAATATGTTTTTCAATCACTGCTATTTTTCATATACACTCCTAAAGAAGGAGCTAGAAGTGTACTTTTCGCTGCTACACATCCTCAGGTTCAAGATTACACCAAGTCCTTAAAGGCTCAAGACTCTCCTGTTTGTGCTTATATAGATCATGACTGTACTTTTGGTTATGTTTCTAAAGAAGCTCAGAACTTTGAGACATCCATGAAAGTTTGGGAAAAGACATTGGATATGATTGGATTTCCTTCCGATGCGGTGGACAAGTTGCTGAGTGGGGATACTGTAGAAGTAAGCAAAAAAGATAGGTCAAATTAAGCTGCGTTGTTGGGATGGTATATGGGTTTTTTCTTTTAGCTTCCACTTGAAACTGAAGCTATATTTCATTCATAATTCTTCATGATTTTTTTTTTTTCGTTTTTCTTTCTATAGGTGACATTTGTTTGAATATTTGGAATTACCCAGAAGGGAAGAATAAGAACATACTATCTAGTGAGGAAAAGAAAGAAAGAAAAAGCAGTGTCAAAATAAGATATAAAATCTATAACAAGTTGGATTTTCGTCAAAAACATTGTTTTTTATTTAACTTTTGTGCAATGTATAAGATTTTTACCTTGTTTATGGTTAAATAATGATGTTCCTCATACTTTCAGTATCTTTTGACTTATCGAAGCCTAAAATTAGGCTTACATACATTTCTTGATCTCTTTAATTTCAAGAAAGTTTCAATTTATACAAAGTCACATATGGGGTGTGAAGAGACTTTTTTGAAAAAGAAAAGGAAGAGCTAAATGAAAAGATCATGAACAGTAAAACAAAGGATTAATCTATTGCTTTTATACTGATCATCCAATGTGCAATCATGTGGACCTACTAGATGACTTACCCTATGAACTTTTAAATTTAAGTAGCAATTTGCCCCAAAAAACTAGAATTCAAAAGAGTGATTAAGTTAGAACTTAGGCCTCAAGGTCAAGCTGTTAACAATCACGTCTAGTTACAAAATATAAAAGCAAATTGAGCTCTTCTTCAAATTAATTGAACTTATTAGCCCATTGCAAAGCAAACAAATTCAAACAAAACAATTGAAGTCCAAAATATATGGACCCTAATTGAAAGAAGGCTTTACACCATTATGCTTGAAGCTCTGATGTTCAAGCCCAAATTATGCTTTTTAGCCTAGAGCCCAATTCAGGTTTACCGCTTCTCTATTATTAAATTGGGCCTTATCCTGGACATCGCTAACTACGCCTTTGCTGAGTTTCCCTCATGCATTTTTTTTTCTTTTTTTAATTAGAGAGAAAGATACTTTTTTTCTTTGGTTGCCTAGAGTATCCTCCCATCCAAGCAATAAGAGACTAAATCTCTCGGGGTATTATTAGGCACCGTAACGGGAATCCCTCCTAATAACTTTTTTTCAATACACACCGCCTCAAGACATGACGTTTAAGGTGCATAAATCCTTTCCACTTGGACCAACACTTATTAGTTTAGTGAGAATGATACTAATGTCCTAAAGTGTAATTAGACTCGCAATCTCCTACTTATAATAAAACTTTCAAACCATTAAGTTACAAAGTTATTGCTTCATACAAAGTGGTCTTTAACTTGGTCGTTGGACCACCAATTCCTAACAACAAATCTTGAATTACTTGGATGCCACTTGGATGCCATCCTGATCTCCACCATTTGTTTGAGTTCAATAATAGATATTAACAATATTGCTCTCCTTGTTCATATTACCACGCCAAGTTTAACATGTCTTGAACCTCTTTTTTAAGTACCTAACATCATTAACTTGGAATGATGTTGAGATGGATAAATTGTTTAGCTTCAGTTTGATGTTCCATTTTCAATGAAAATTTCATAAAAATAAATGGACAGTCGCTTCTGAACTGTTAAAAGATAGAATAAGTGTATTCTAAAGATATTAAACAAGAGAAAAATTATGGAAATTCAACTAAATACTTTTCATTACTTTTAATATCTTGATAAAACCTATCTTTATATAGCACCTCGTTCAAATGTTCGTTCAAGGCTTCAGCACACTACTTCTGGTTTTTAATATAATAGGTTGTTTGAATTTTATTTTGGTGCTAAATATAATATTTCACTCTACTTTGTTTTTCATATTTATCTATTTTTTTCTAGGTAGTTTCTACAATAATGGTAGTTTTAGCCAACACACTTAATTAGTAAGGATATCTTAGAGAAAAAAAACACATATTTATTACAAATAACTAACTTAACTAATTTTAAAAAATTATTTAACTACCTATAAGCACCATAATAATTAACTTTGAGTATATATCTATCTTGGTTGTTCCTTTTGCTTGCAATTTCTTGGAATTATTAATTAACCGATACACACACATATGCTTGTTGGGTAAGTCTAGTTTTGCTTCATTTGAGTCAATCAACAGTTGACTTCCTTTTGAGTTAACATCATTATGGGCAAATCTCATTATGATTATTTTATTTATGATTATACTAGTTGCCTAAAGGTAGGCTTTGCTTGTTAACCAAGTTAGTATCTTGACATGAAATATCACGCATTTATAATCAAAATTTTAGGAGATACTGCTTGTTGATCAAATTAGCAATGTTTTAAGATTGTTTAGAAGCTTTATATATAAAACTTTTCATCCATCATAGAAATAAGATTATTCTCGTAATCTTGAGTTTTTTTTTTTTTAATGAAACTTTTTGCTTGTGGTTCTCAATGGTTTTTGCCTTCAAACTAAGGGCTTTTCACGTTAAATCTGATGTTTTCCTACCATCCCAATGGTTTAATTTCTTAAGTTCCAAAGAGTTCAATTTCTTTGACTACGATTTTGACTTTGACTATTATAAAAAGAGAAGTCAAACTTGGCTGTTTGTAGGGAGTTATATGGTTTTTCTTTAATTTTATCTTTCACATGAAGAAGCTGAAGAAGCTTTATCTTACGTACTCATCATGCTTCACACCTCTTTTTATCTTCTATTTTTATCTTTGTTTTCGGAGATTTTGCTCTCTATAAGCAAAGATATACATGTGTTGAACAAATAGTTGAAAATTTGGAATTACTTAGATATATTAAAAAAAAATACATGGAATTCAGTGCAGAAGAAAAGAAAGAAGAGGCAAAATCAACACAAGATACAAAATCTATAATAAGTAACATTTGTCACGGTTCATAAACAATATCATGTCTTAACTTTAAAAAAAAACTTTATTAAACAAGACAAAAATTTGGGAGGTTTAACTAGAAATCTTTCACACTCAAAGATTCCTTGAACGCCTGCATGGATAACTTTGGGACGATCTCTCTATACTACGTTGTGTTCTTTTTCTTTGCAATTTCTTTTTTTCTTTTTTAATTAGGATGCTTTGCAATATCTTGTGGGTTATTAATTAAGTTGGAATCGATATGTAACTTTTGGGTGGGTTTGATTTTGCTTCTTTTGAAGAAGTAACCTTCAAGTTTCGTACAGAGACCGTCAATGGTGACCATCCTTCTAATATTGTAACATGTGAGTGTGTGTGTGTCTCTCTCTCTCTACACACACACACACACACACACACACATATAAAGGGACACACTTTAACGTTAACACTGGAAGAACCCTAGCTAGTTATTGAATTTAAAATTAAAGCTTGTCACTTTGAGTGCCAAGGGCTGGAGGATTTCCTCACTCAAACGTTCTTTCAAGGCTTCACCATAATTAACTTTGAGTATATATCTATCTTGTTTGTTCCTTTTGCTTTGCAATTTCTTGGGGTTATCAATTAAGTTCCAACTTATATATATACTTTTTGGGTAAGTTTAGTTTTGCGTCATTTGAGTCAATCAATAGTTGACTTCCTTTTGAGTTAACATCATTATGGGCAAAGCTCACTATGATTATTTTATTTACGATTATACTTCTTGTCTAAAGTTAGGCTTTGCTTGTTAACCAAGTTAACATCTTGACATGAAATATCACATATTTATAATTAAAATTTTAAGAGATACTGCTTGTTGATCAAATTAGCAATGTTTTTAGATTTTTAGCAGCTTTATATATACACTTTTCATCCATCATAGAAATAAGATTATTCTCGTAATCTTGAGTTTTTTTTTTAATGAAACTTTTTGCTTGTGGTTGTCAATGGTTTTTTCCTTCAAACTAAGGCCTTTTCACGTTAAATCTGATGTTTTCCTACCATCCCAATGGTTTAATTTCTTCCAGCTCCGAAGAGTTCAATTTCTTTGACCACCATTTTGACTTTGACTATTTTAAAAAGAGAAGTCAGACTTAGCTGTGTCTACGGAGTCATATGGTTTTTTGCTTAATTTTATCTTTCACATGAAGAAGCTGAGGAAGCTTTATCTTGCGTATTTCACATCTCTTTTAATCTTCTCTTTTCATTTTTGTTTTTGGAGATTTTGCTCTCTATACGCAAAGATATACATGTGTTGAAGACTTAGTTGAAATTTTGGAATTAGTCAGATATAATAAAAAAAAATACATGAAATTTAGTGTGGAAGAAAAGAAAGAAGAAGCAAAATCAACACAAGATATAAAATCTATAATAAGTATTCCTTCGATCTTAAATATAAGATCCTTTTTGTAGTATAATTACATTACAAAAAGAATCATATATTTAGGACTGGAGTAGTAATATTTTTCACGGGTTATAAGCGATATCGTATCTTAACTTTAAAAAAAATTATTAAACAAGAGAAAAAAACGAGAAATCGTTCGCATTCAAATATTCCTTCAACGCTTCAGCATAGATAACTTTGAGACGATCTCTATATTACGTTGTTTTCTTTTTCTTTGCAATTCTTTCTTCTTTCTTTCTTTTTTTTAAAATTAGGATGCTTTGCAATATCTTGTGATTATTAATTAAGTTGGAATCGTATGTAACTTTTGGGTGAGTTTGATTTTGCTTCTTTTGACGAAGTCACATTCAAGTTTCGTACTGAGACCGTCAATGGTGACCATCCTTCTAATACTGTAATGTGAGAGTGTGTGTGTGTGTGTATAAATAAATATTATATATATATATATATATATATATATATAAAGGGACACACTTTAACATTAACACTGAAAGAACCCTAGTTATTGAATTTAAAATTAAAGCTTGTCACTTTGAGTGCCAAGGACCAAGGTTTCTTTCTTTGAGTAAGAATTTGAATTTCAATCTTATAAAAAAAGAAGGAAAAAATGAGAAAATATAAGCATTGAAAAATTTACTTCTCTTGATGAATTTCTTTTAGTTAGATTCAGTGACTCTCAACGTAATTAATTTAGCTCAATCTATATATTTTCAATATGCAGATTTTTGTTTTATCGGACTTTGTGTACGTACGCCACTCACAAAATTAAATGCAGCTGCCTTATATGATTAAATTAGTGTCTTGGCGTAATTTTTTTCATAGTTTGAATTTATTGTCTTTACAACTGTAATGAAGTTTACATTCTTTGAATTAGTAAGCGTAAGATGGC